CTCAGAGCTGGGGGAGAGAGCTCATGGTGGGAAGAAGTCCCACAAGTGCTTGGAATGTGGGAAGGGCTTCAAAAAGAGCTCCCACCTGATCCAGCACCAGAGGATCCACACTGGGGAAAAGCCCTATGAGTGTGGGAAATGTGGGAAGAGTTTCAGAGACATCTCCAGCCTCATGCGGCACCAAGTGATTCACACTGGGGAAAAGCCCTACGAGTGTGGGGAATGTGGGAAGAGCTTCAATGACCGCTCCAGCCTTAGGAAGCATCAGAGGATCCACACAGGGGAACGGCCCTACACCTGCTTGGAATGTGGGAAGAGCTTTGGGTGGAGCGCCGCCCTGAGGACACACCAGCTCTTCCACACTGGGGAGAGGCCCTACGAGTGTCCCCAGTGTGGGAAGAGGTTTCGGACCAGCTCCCATGTCCTCCTACATGAGCGGATTCACACAGATGAGAGGCCCTTCCGCTGCCCCGACTGCGGGAAGGGCTTCAACCGCAACTCCCACCTCACTCTCCACCGGCGCATCCACACTGGGGAGAGGCCCTACGAGTGTCCCCAGTGTGGGAAGAGCTTCTCCAGGAGCTCTAACTTGACCCAACACCAACGGAGGCACCAGTAAGGGAAGGCCTGCAAGTGCCCCGAGTGCGGGAAGAGCTTCGTGCGCTGCTCCAGCTCCATCCCCCATGGGATGATTGGCGTTGGATGATCCCCAGTGACCCCCGTTGGGCAGAGCCCTGGTGATCGGTGTTGGGAAGACACCTGGCTGGGAGGCTCCACATCTTCCTGGCTCCCTGTGGGCACCTGGGTGAACACTGAGGCAGGAACATCCACTGGGACACAGACCAACAATGGGAATTCCTTGAGGAGATTGGATTTGTTGAATTTTAATTCTAGAGAACCTTTTGCCATCGCCTCAGGAGCTGTGTGGGCAGAGAAAAGCGGGTGACACCAGAGTGGGGGTCTCTGAGGGGAACACACATGCTCCGGTGGGAGGGAGGACACAACCCCCAGAACCCCCCGTCACCTTTTTGCTCAGGTAGAAGTCGAGCCCCAGGACCAGGAAGACAAAGCCCAACATGGAGACTCCAATCCATGTCAGCATCTTGCTGTGGGCAGCCTTTGACGGCATCCATGGAAGGTCTGCAGAGGTCAGAACCCCAAAACCTTTCACAGACACCCCAAGCCCATCCAAGGACCCTCCCAGTCTCCCCCAGCCCACCCCGGTCCCTCTGTAACCTCTTTTGGAGTTACTAATTTTAAAAAATTATTAATTCTAGAAAAATTAGAGATCTTAGCTAGAGATAGGCCTTGCTGGAACTAGTTAGAGTTAATGATTAAGTGAGAAGCAGGATTTGAGATAATGAATCTCGGACTGAGGTAAAAAATTCCTTTTCATTGTATGTTTGTTTAGCTGTGCTTATAATGAGAAAAGAGAAACTGATAAATGGGTTCAGTAAGATCACAGACTTCTGGAAACCCATTTAAGTCACAAGGGAGGAAACTGGAGTTGTACCAAATGTCATTTGTAAAGTCAACCATTGTAAAGGTAGAAAGGTGAGAGTGAGGAAGAGCGGTTTTACTTCATTTCTTGATGACCCCTCCTCGCCAAAACGACCCCCTCCTCAAATTAGGGAGCTAACCACGCAGGCATAATGACATTTTAAACTCATTACTGTGCATTTTAATCCAAAGTGGGGAATGGGAAGTGTTTAGCATTATGCATATATATTAGTATTAATATGTATTAGTATTTTGGATATTCAAGACTTTTGTAAATAAATAGACACTGGAACCTTTTGTCAACTTGCAGTGCGTATTAAGGGGTGACTCCTGCACTCGCCCAGTGCTGGGATTAAACATCCACTTTGTAACTTTAAACTGTTGGAGAGGTTTTTTGTCCATTAACAGATTGATATTGATACTGGATCAATATCGCTATTTTGTTAAACCACTCGCAGTCTCTTCCCAGCCTCCCCAGGACCCACCAGAGCCCCTCCTGTTCCTCTCAGGATCCCACAGCCCCCTCCCAATTTCCCCCCACTGCCCCAGGACCCCCAAACCCTCTCCCAGTCCCTTCCCAGCCCCACCAGGACTCATCAAGACTCTTCCCAGTCTCTTCCCAGCACAACCAACCTCATCCCAATCCCTGCTTTCCAATCTCCAATCTCTTTTCAGCTCTTCCAGGCTCACTCAAATCCCTCCCAGTGTCCACCAGCAGCCCCAGAACCCCATCCCTCCCTCCCCAAAATCCTTCAAACCTGTTCCCAGCCATCCTAAACACATCAATCCCTTCCCCAGTTTAAACCAGTTTATTTGAAACTCCCTCCCAGTTCCTCCCAGCACACCCCAATCCCCCTCCCAGCCCCCCCAGTGCCTCCCCCGCTGCCCCCGGCGCTGTGGGGGCCGGGCCGTGCCCCAGTGCCGGCTCAGGGGGTGCTCCAGGCTGACGTGCTCCACCTGGCAGCTGGAGCTGAGCCCGCATTGCCGGGGGCGGTTTCCAGCAGCACCAGGAGCAAAAGACACAGAATACAAGCGTACAGCAATTTATATATGGGGAGGGTCCAGGGGTGGATACAAAACTTCAACCAGTGAGGGATATCCTGGGGAGGGGAATAGGACACATGGATCAATGGGGTGCTGTGGATTAGGGGATTTCCAAAGGGGACGTCCAAGCAGGGGTTGGCATAAGGCAGGATTGACAGGGAACATTTGGGAACAAGGGGCAGGGTGGACAAGATTGATAGGGAAGGTGCTGGAAAAAGGGGTTGGGATACAATGATGGGCAGGGCAGGGGAGGAGATAACTTTGGGTTAAACCAACAAAGCAGGGGGGGTAACAGAACAAACCACTTATACAAGCAACTTCATGTGTCAGCGGCCTCAGGGGTGACAAAGGGTTACATTTGGGTCCCACCCCAAACCCCTTGTGAAGGGCGGCCCAGGAGTTCTGATTGGGTTTGAGTCCCTGGGGGTTTCTCCCTTGGTGTGCTTCTACTGGTCCCTGACCCTGAACTCCACCCTCAAAGGTGGAAACCCTTGAGAGTTCTGTCCCTCAAAAACCCCTGCTCGGGCTCTGTTCGGGGCTCTCTCTTCTGGACCTGAGTTGGTTCCCATACATAAATGGTTCCATTTACGATGAATAAATGGTTTCATGAACCGGCAGCCCGTCCTGGCTGGTGTTCTATGCTGGTCCCCAGAATCCTGCGGCTTCTCTGGACGAGATCCTGAGGTTGCTGACTGCAACAACTTCAAACTTTGAATTAAAGAAAACCACACCACAACATCTCCCCCTTTTCTGTTTAAAAGGAAGAGCTGTGGTTTTGGGGGATCCATTCTCATTTTGGATACACGTCTCCCCAGCAGGGCTGGTCAGCTGGCACTTCTCCCTGATTTACCTCTGCAGTGGGAGAGCCCTGGGAGGGCTCGCTGAGCCTTGTACAGCGGGGCCTGC